AACGATGAGCAATAGATGCATCCTGTTCATAAGAACAATAATGCAATCATAATAGGTCATATTTTAAGCAATACATTCAACTTTCTGTTTAAGTCAATGAGAAGTTACATGAGTGCTTGACTCACGACTCCAACAGAGAAGTAGTTGTTGATGATCTCATAAGGCTCAGGATCTCCCGCCTCTTGAGGGTCTTCTGGTATCACCTGAATGCTCCAGCGGTCCACTGGAACCAACTCGCTGGCTTCAATCTCCTTCAGGATCTCTCTCAAGTCTGAGCCCTCATAGCCTACCATTACAAAAGAAGGAAGATGTAGGCCAATCCCTGAGTGATACCTATTTAGTTTAGAGTTAATATGTTGATGGTTTTACCTCCTCCCCAGCGAAGACAGCGAGCCAGGTCATTCCCAGTGCCAAGAGGCAGCACAGCTACTGGTGGATGCACCTGGAGGTCTGCTTTGTCTGAAATAACACATGCAGCATGTTATTTAGCCTTGGAGATAGTTGTCGTTCTGAAACCAAAAGGGAACATGCAATACCTATAGCATCAAGAAGCCAGCCCACTGTGCCATCACCTCCGCACACCAAGATTCTGTAGTCACGCAGATTATGGAAGAAGTGGAGCCTAAAAATGCAACGTCAATAATAATGTGAAGGAACTCAAAGCACGTGTACAACCAAACAGCAGGACCCAGAGTGGGGAAAGTGTACCGTACCCTGGATGTGCCAGGTTGTTGTCTTGACGGGGGTGCAGCAGGAACTGAAACTTCCTGAGCACTCTATGCAAAACACACAGGCACATGTACCGAGGGCAATCATACACAACATTCCATAGTAAACAGCATAATATCTGTGTAACTTAAGAGGAACCCATGTAACCAGGAGGGCAAAAACATTTTGGACAGATTATTTTATTGCAATACTGTACATGAATCTTATGTATTGATAACATGTTGCAAACAAATTTAAGATGCTATACTAATATGCAGCTATTTTGTTCCAACACACCCACTATTAATGTATTCATAAAAAGCTGTGTACCGTTCACCCTGTTTTCCTCCACTTTTTGGGTTTACAAACACCAACAGAGGGTGGATGTCTGGAAATGGAACAATCTGAAAAATAATACATGATAAATTATTAAGATCCATTGACTTATGTAACTCATCTGAAAAACATATACATGCCATATAAGTATAAACACATGTGAGTCAGGCTACTGTACTGTATTTATTAATATCCAAATTTAGTAAAACTGATATTTTGCCCATCAATTTACACTCAGTAACCCATAATGACAAAAAGAAAACATGCTTTTAGAATATTTAGCACATTTATTAAGAGGAAAAAAAACTTTCCTATAAAAAACTATTCAGACCCTTTTTTGTGGCATTACATTAGTTGTAGGAACCTGCCGGAAGGACCACCACCACCTCAGCAGTTTAGAGTGCACATGACCTGTGACTGAGGCAACAGTTCACCTTCTAGCATGACAATGACCTGAGCCAAAACCACACTGGAGTGACTTCAGGACAAATCTGACCCAGACTTCGACCCCACAAAACATCTGTGGAGAGACCTGAAGATGGCCGTTCACAGACAGATCCCATCCACTCTTGAAAGGATCTGCCAGGAAGAACGGGTGTGCAAAGCTTACTCAAGTACAGGCTTACTCAAGAAGACTAAAAGCTGTAACTGCTGCTAAAAGGGCTTCTACACTGAATGAAGGGTTTGAATACTTTTATAAATGGGCTATCATCCATCCATCCATTATCTAAGACGCTTATCCTAAAGAGCGTTGTGTGGGGCTGGAGCCAATTCCAAGAGATACACCCTGGACAGGTTATCAGTCTATCATAGATCTGACACTTACAGACAGACAACCACACAAAGTCAATTTAGAGTTTCCAGTCAAACTAAGCTGCATGTCTTTAGACTGTGGGAGGAAACCGGAGTACCCAGAGAGAACCCACGCAGGCAAACATGCAAATTCCACACACAAAGACACCAGGTCGGCCCAGGCTCGAAACCAGAACCTTCTTGCTAAGAAACGATGGCACTAACCACTCCACCATTTGTATTATTAAAGGACATATTCTTTAT